GCTGAAGTTATGAAGCTTTAAAAGAAGGAGTTTAGAATTGTCCCCTTCTACCTTTGGAACAATGACATTATCCATTAAAGAGCTACTATAACAACCTAAAAAAGTAAACAAATACAGCATATTAAAGTACATATATACTACTAACCAGTACTGCTTACTTGCAGCTGATATTTGCTTTTTTGCATAGCCAGAAGCATCGCCAGAATCTTCAGCACTTTTGTGTTGGATGCCTGCATGACCCCAGCGTGCACTTCATGAGCTGCTGGGGCACACTGGTGATGTAGCAGCAGGAAAGAGTAACCACAGCATGGGGAGTAGGGGGAGTAGGGGGGCCTAGGCATCCAATGCACTTGGATATGTCTGCAGCTGAAGATTCTACTGGCGCCTATAGCTCTAGCAAGAGAGCAATGATCAGCTGCAAGGAAAGCAATACAGGTAAGTAGTATAAATGTACTTTACAATGTTTGTTAACTTTTGTTTCAGCTGGCAACACTCTTTTTACAGCACCCACAAGAAATAAAATGAAGATTTAGAAGGTGGGAGGTGCAAAGCTGAGCTCAACTTTTACAGGAGATGTTTAAATAACTTCAGCGGTCTCTGGCTCTACAGAAGATTATGAAATGCAGTTTTTTTTCTATAAGTAAAGCCTACTTAGTATAAATAGCTTGGCTTGAGTCAAGCTTACTTTAATGTTTTTCCATCAATTGCAAATTTCTTGGTCCTAGCTAAATTCTTGACACAGATCCTAATAATTTGACACAGTGAAAACCTGAGGACCCTTTCTTCTTGTTTTTGCCTTTCTACACTTGCAGTTAAGACAACCATAACAAAACTGGGAGACCAGCTCTGTCTACTACTACAGGAAACCCTGACTTGCCCGGTTCAAAAAAAAATTCACAGCTGTAGGTATAAACCTGCTTCGGTAGAGCATATAGAGTGTAAACACAAATACAGTTGGAGAGGGTCCTTAATATTAAGGAATATGAATGACTTGATATATCATGTTAACGGATAGTTACAATTTCTATATTTCACCTGGTTTCCTCATATTTTTGGAATCTGTTAATAAATAAATAGAATGGAAGAATAGAGACGTATAAAATATGTAAATCTTATACATACACTAGTGAAACACCATTTAGAAACAGTAATATAATAAAAAGTGACAAATCTCCGTTAGAATTAGGGGTTTAACTATAAACCGCCCACTGATTGCTGATGCAAAGAGAGAGAGATAGCAAGAGAATAACAGCAGACATGAATATCCTGTATTCAGCACAGTGGTACATGGTCCAAACATTTTCGATAAATATTTAAATTAGACAGCTGCTTGTTCTACATAGATATATATTTGTATACAATATAGAATTTGTATTACATGTTTAATAGATTTGAAAAATATCATCTTCCTTTTACACATCCAATGCTGTAATACTTTGCACCACAATCCTTTACCCCCCCCTTCCTAATTTCAGGGCTTCTGGTTTAATGAAACATTCATATGTGTTTTTTACATTTATTTTCATTTTGTCACACTGGACTATGTTTCTTTACTACATTTAAATAACAGCACAGCAAAAGGAAAAGGAACATGAAATGTAAGGATTTATGCTGGAGAAATATGAACATTTGTATTTAAAAACCATATTTCAGTAAATCAAAACCAGTAGCCCTGTTTAAGGTCCCATTCACACCAAGGCATTAATCAGCAGTACAAGGAAATGGCATTACAGCATTTAAGAAAATTATTTGTTGTGTCACATATTCACAGCATAGGGTTAGCTCTCCGGTAAGAAAAGTCAGTATGCTTCAGCAAAAAAATTATCTGGAAGGATGCATTTTAGTGCTTCAGAAACTGTTTTAGAACCCCATGCCACCTTTACCTGTAAATGGTGTGGAGGGGACCTTACAGTCAAGTATGAGAACATAATGCAATGCAGTAGATAGCTGTTCTCTGTGCTACACTATACCTTTCTAAGCAGTTTAACAAACCTGCACTATGATTAACTGGTAAAGTAATCTGAGGTGAATAGAATGTAAAAAGACTATTCATCTCCATGACCACATGCCAACAGCTTTAGAGGAACTCTCAGGATAGAAACATAAAAGGCAGCTACTGGTGACCAGTTCATGAAAATGTGGGGCTCTGATCCTTCCTTCACTACTAGACGATGTCCCAACACTTCCGTGGCCATATGCTTGTTCCAGGTCAGTGACTCACCAAAGCAAGAATAAGGCTGACAGCCTGGAGATTGCATATTCACAAACAAGTCAGCAATAGTAGTGGCTACATTTCTTTCCTGACAGCTTTCATTTAGGGCTCGCTTACGCAAACCTGCACGCTATAACGAGCCAGTTTAGCATGCGGTGCGGTGTCCATTCTGTAAGGGCTGTGCCTTGTGTTTTTACAATGCAGGGCACAGTTTACCTTTTTAAAAATGTATTGAAAGGTCACAAAGTGACATTTTATTGATTTGTCTGCACCCCAGCAGAGCTGTGTTGCCGAGATGGATGGAGACATCAAGTGAGGTCCAGTGGGTGTGAAAAAATGCAGCATTTTTCTGCACTGCTCTACTCCTTTGTGGTGTAAATGGGGTACACGAAAAATAATTGTTTTCTGTGTGCCCTTATGTTGGCCGGCATTGATCCAGTGCAGAAAAATGCCAGTCATTGCAGATGGTGTGAACAAGCCCTTAAAGTTCTTCACAAAGCTTCTGTTGACCATAAGGATTTCCCTCTGATTATTATAAATGTGACACTTGAAGGTATTCTCATTGTAAAAAAGAAAATCAGTTAAATGTGTTTTTTTTTTCACCTGATCCCCCATTTTCCACAGAACTTTGTGGCATCATACAATCAACACTAAAAATTCCCTCAGTACCCAATCCCCTTTTATAATTCTCCACAAGCATCCAACCAACCAAAAAAGTGGAAAATAGAGATTTAGTTAGAAAAGGCAACCATATGTTTTATAAAATCTGTGGAAAAACTGGTAGTGAGAGCAGGACACACCATATTCCATTGTCTGCATATACTGCAGCAGTCACAAAGACCATGTGTCCAAGGTCTATATACACAATCTTTTTTCTTCTCAACCTAAAAAAAGAAATCTGTCCAGGACTTTAACCTGGTATAAAAGGAATATGTAGTTACATGACACTACACTCATCTACTCTTTTGTCGCATTCTTGAATATATGATTCTTTAGTTCCACTGCTTATATTTCCAAATACTAATGATTATTTGTTGTTTCTTAAATATCTAGAAAAGAAAGGATCTGCTATAAAACTCTATTTCCTTTTGGCACCTACATTTAACTTTTTTCTTCCTTTGAGTGAATCACATTCAAGCAAATATCATATCCTTACTGCATTGTGTATTATCTTCAAGTATCCTACTGGACTAAAATACACCCTGTAAAGTCTATTTGTTATACAAAACATAACGCATTAGCTGCTCTTTTCTGCTTCATTTTTGTTTTTTGCAGTGTCCAAACTAGGGACACCCATGGTAGTATATTCTACATACAGTCTTCTAGGCAGAAGAAAAGGCATATGCCCAATGTTGAAAATACCTTCTTTCCCAAATATGTTCAACAACAGCATTCTGGCACAATCTGTACCGTTAAGAACAAGTGCAAATGAATAAAATATTTTCTTTCCAAGACAACACATAATGCTTTTCAAATAAAACAATTAGTCTTGCTGGTCTGGTTCTCCTAGCAACCAGAAATTATACTGGACTATGATGTGAGAGGTCAGTGGGTAAGGTTAGTATAATGCCAGTAGTCTGTCTTATGTTGATTAGTTCAATGGTATATTTGTATTAGAACGCAGTTACAAAATATCAGCAGCAGGGACACACAATTACCAAAACATTAGCTGGAGGGACACCAACTTTGAAAATGTCAAGTGGTTCTTTAGTTGCAGGACTGTATTTTCATTTTAAACAAATTTGCAGTCTATTTAGTGCAGTGTAAGTGGGCAACAGAATGAACATCACTAGATTCCATTGATTAAAATGACCTAACCTCTTGTTTTCCCTGCAAACTATGTTGTACACTTAATGGAGTATGATGTAAACACAGAAAAAAACAGGAGGGTTATTGGTCAATAAACCAGTGTCACCTGTAGAGAAAAGAGTTATAAAAACAGTGGTGACAATCTCCCCATGGCAGTATAAAGAGGTCCAGATGGCACCCAACAGTTTAAGAAATCATCGCCTACATGAGCGCAGTCCACCACGCTCATGGTAGAATAGGAACTAGATCAGTACTGTACTTCTTAGGTAGGCTTACAATACCATTACTGCAAAATCAAAAACCGTAAAGAATCTGCAAGGAACCATCAGCATTCAGTCATTTTAAAAATGTGCACCTACATCCACTGATGTCATCAAACATATTAATCCTGAATCTTAGTTCTTTAGTGCTGGTGGGTCCAAAAAATTACATTGATGAAGAATTCAAAAATGTTAGTGCATTAAAAACACCAACAATATATTAAAAGAAGTCTGTGGTTGAAGATCCTTGCACATCACTACAAGGGTGTCCATGGAACCAGGATTCAGCTGCAAAGGTTGTCTTGGCCTTCATGTAATTACCATATGCATGTCAATTTCTACCCAAGATATCTGACAAGTGAGATTTGAGTTAAAGTTCTTTCTGAAATTAAGAATATTTTTTGACTGGATCTTCAATAATAGTAATACAAAAATCAAACCTTTTCACAGGACGACATCTTAAAAACATTCCCTTTAGATGAAGTGGGCTGGCAAATTTCCACATGGAAAATGTTTTGAATAAGGTTTGTTTTACAACTACTCTGTTAATCTTAAATATGTAACATTATCCAAAACAGCAGTATGGATTCATAATTGTGGAAGGCTCAATGTGCAGTGGTTGCCCATATGTACTGACCACCAGTATTTCATTACCTGTACAAAACCAAACTCATTATTGATATTTGAGTGCAATCATTCCTAAGAATGAGCATCTTAAGTTTATATAAAGGGTGGTAAACCATATATGGTGATGATTAAATAATCCTCCATCCATGAATAAATATGTTCAGTAGGCTTTGATGCAGATGGAGAATTGTGTTTAACATGTTGGTGGAATAGAACTCAACTTTTGAATACTACAGTGTAAATACCCAGGCAGTTATCTTGGGCACAAACCAGTGTTTATGCTGGCAGAGAGTTTGTAAGTGGTTAGTGGATCCATCCACAACTGCTCAGCCTTTCATTATTTCACCTATGGTCTACAATGAGGTTTCTTGACCATGTAAAGATAATTCTATCAGCATTTGTTCATCCAGTACTGACTGTTGATGTGTCTGAATTTCAAAATTGATGCTCTCTGTTGCAGTAGTTTCACTTCCTGATTGTGGAAATGGCAAGGAGGGGTTGCCTGGTGCTTCTATGCCAATGATCACTTCTCCTTCCATACATGGTTGTGATGTTGGTGCCACATCACACAGAGGCTGCTGTGCTAGGTAGGTGGAGTCAAGACTCGATGGTTCTTCTACTGGAGGCAAGTCGTGGCATACCTCCTGACTACTGGAAGTCTCTTCACCTTGTATATGTGTTGGCTGAAGGTTGTCATCAAGATTCAACTTTCTTCTCTGCGCCTCAGTTAGTGAAGTCTTATCACTAAAGTTGAAACGTGATGAGAGATCTATAGAAGTTGGAGATGAAGGACCAGCACTTGACACAGTGCTAGAAGGTCCACTGCTGTCTGCAAATGGCAAGTGAAAAGCTTGTCAATATCAAATTAAAAGGAATGAACAACACTTTATAGTCATGGCTGTTGTGGTCAGAAGGCTTTGCTTATTTATCTCTACAAAACTTCTTCGTTAGGAAAAAAACTAAATCACAATTTACAGAAGCTGAGCCTAAAAGATATTGGGTACAGCCATAGAATAAACATTCTTGATTTGAGCAAGTAACATGCTACCTTTCTTTCCATCGTGTAGCTGCATCTGCATTTCTCTAAATCTTGACAGTAACAGGCAGTGGGAGACATTTATTTTTATTATTTAAATCTTTATCAGATGACCAATATCATAATACAGTGATAACCAGCAAGTCCCAGCATAGATTCAGTGCATATGCAGTTTGCCCTGCAAACTCTTCCATTACGGTGAACTCTAATGAGCACTTGTACCTAATGAATAATAAACTTAAATCTGTAATGGAGGAGGACAGAGAAAATACACAAGTCTTACCAGGTGTATAAAGTCTGAATTAATGCATATGTTCTAAAAAAATAAAACAGCTATATTGTTCACCATCCCCTCCTAACGTAATGCATATCATTTTCTTCAAGAAGACAGGCGTACTTTAATTATTACAATTTAGAATAGCAAAACCAATGAAGAAATTAAGAAGAATGAAACGCTTACTTTTGGTGATAACAAACAACTTGGTGGGTTCTAAGCACTTAAAGGGTAATTCCATTTTTACCAAAATATACCATAATGTACAAATATACACAGCATGCTTGCACAACATGGCACACTTCTGGTTTTGCCCTGCCCCAGCAATGCTAGGTCCCCACTCCCCAACACCATCTAAAGGTGCCCATACACCTTGCGATTATCGTCCGATAATCGTATGCGATCGACGTCCGATAATCGTATGTGTGCATTGCAGTGTCCGACCGACAATACTGTACAATCGTACGACTTTTGACGGTCAAGCATGTTTGAAAACTTTGCTAGATCGTACGATTGTCGTAAGGTTGCTGGCGTTTCCGTCCGGCAAAAGTCGTACGCTAACGAAAATACGGCAAATCAATTACCGCATTTCATCCAGGTGCTTTTGGTTAATTACGGCTAAATGATTCTTGCGATCATCGGGGCAGGATGGGGCTGCCGTACGAAAATCGTACGACTATTCGATCATCGGACGAAGAGTTTCGTCCGATAATCGTAAGGTGTATGGGCACCTTTATTCTACTTTTCTTGTGGATACAGTGTCTATTTAACTTCAGCCACTAGTGATCCAACTCCTGTACATGTGTGAGTTACATTATCCCAGCATCTGGCTCTATTCTCTGCATCTTACAGATGACAGAAGTGGGCTTCAACTATACATATTACATTTCATGTGTCACAGTTAGTGTATGAACAAAAAGTTCTGCTTTAAAGTGGGATTGCAACAGAGACAGAAAGCAAGGTATTCTAACTGTAAACAGACAGAGAGGTAATGGGAGTGGTAAATCTATGCTGCAAACAGAAAGGGAAGGGTAGTTTCAGCTGCTGAGGTTGGTGGAAATATTTAAAGGAAGACCATACTAAGGAAAATGGCAGGATACTGGTAATGTGTCATACAATTTTGTTTAAATATAGTGGAATGCAGACACACTAGTAATATTTGCAATCGTCATATATTTACAACAACCATATTTTGGTGATGCTGTATAAAAATAGGGGATATTCTGCTCAGCTTTGATGGTTGTGTAGTATTTCTAAGAGTTTAAGCACTTTAACTCTGAGATCAAACATGGTCACACAACAAGAATTGTTAAAAACAGCAAACTGATTAACCAAAAGGTTGAATATAGTATACATGAAGTCTAAGTTTAGACTGTGTGCATGTAGACATAATGGAGATACAAAGCACTTACACCAGGGTGGCCTTTCTGAACGATGGCGCAGGGGAAGTGAAGAAGAGGAGAGGATTCTGTGGGGCAGGTAAGCATCGCCAGGTGTGTGGCGGTTTGAGTCACATCCAGCTGATAAAAGTGGATAAACAACACTAAGTTTTGACAAACAAGGCACTCCATATAGATAGATGGATATGAAGCGTGACATATTAATATTAAACATTGAAACACTTTTTTCTTTGGTAGAGTCAAAAAGGTTTCTGGCTGGAGATAAACCCTTAAGAAAAAATTGTTGTAAAATATAGCATAAAAGTTGCAAAAAAAACATTGTCATTTAAATGCTGAAAAATGATGTTCCTATTTTTATCTGCAGCAAGCTATATTTTTTTTAAACTTCACAGCAATCAAATATTTTTCCCTTATTTTTCCTGCATTACATCAATATATGACTTTTTAATTCCAAATATCAAATACATAGCACAAGCTTAATTTGCCACCACCTGTTAATAAAGAAGTCTAAAGCTGGCCATACAACTTACAATTATCTGCAGATTTTCTGTGGTCAGATGGAAAAGGTGCAACAGATTCCTCCACCTTCACTAAATTGTGTGGATGGAGTAATCTCCACCTGGGCCAATCTGTTGCACTTTTTCCATCTGACCACAGAAAATCTGCAGATAATTGTAAGGTGTATGGCCACAGCTGTATAAAATCAAGCACCTAGGCATGCAGACGCTTATACAAACATTTGTGAAAGAATGGGTCGCTCTCAGGAGCTCAGTGAATTCAAGCGTGGTACCGTGATAGGTTGCCACCCGTGCAATAAGTCCATCCGTGAAATTTCCTTGCTACTAAATATTCCACGGTCAACTGTTAGTGGTATTAAAACAAAGTGGAAGCAACTGGGAACAGCAGCAACTCGGCCACGAAGTGGTAGGCCACGTAAAATGACAGAGCGGTGTCAGTGCATGCTGAAGCGCACAGTGCGCAGAAGTCGCCAACTGTCTGCAGAGTCAATAGATACAGACCCCTCAGATATTGTATATGAGTGTAATGCACATTCTGTCCGGCAGTAACATATGGGGCTAACAGTGACAAAGAAAGAAATACCCCAGCATGGGAGGGAGGGAAAAATGCCCCTAAGCAGGTGGCATAACTAGAAGTAAAAAATTCTCCTGTGTCGGTGGTGTCGCTGGAAAGAAAAAATTCCCTGCTTTGGTGGTCTAACTAGAAGGAAAAAATGCCAGTGTCTGTGGTGTCAATGGCAGGAAAGAAATTCTCTGTGTGGGTGGTGTCACTGGAAAGAAAAAATCCCTTATATTGGTGGTGTCACTAGAAGGAAAAATTGCCCCTTTGTTGGTGGTGTTCCTGGAAAGAAAAAAAAAATCTCCCTGCATCACTGGTGTCACCCGTGTCAGTTGTGTCACGGAAAGAAAAAAATCCCCTGCGTCGGTTGTACCACAGGAAATAAAGAAATCACCTACGTCAGTGGTTTCACTGGAAGGAAAAAATGCCCCTACATCACTGTGACACCTTAGCATGTGACTTTACAGTGAAGGAGCAGAAGTATACTGATGATGTAATCTCTCTCGACCTCTCAGCTTGTCTACTATCTATACATAGGCAAACTGCAGATTGGCTTAGAGTACCCCAAACCCCAAATCTATCTATTGCACAGGGGATTACAAGAGGCTGATATAAAAACAGATTCAGATAATTACCACAGTGGCATTTAAAATACCTATGATTCTGTAGTGAATACAATAACAGTTTGTATTTTATATACGTTTGGAATTTAGTTTTAAATCATACAAGACTGAACAAAGGGAATTGGGCTACAAAGGGAGCTGACTGACATGAGATCTTTCAAAGGAACACTGTGCAGTTTTTTTATACAGCAAGCCATCAATATAGTAAAGTCATAAATAATTTTACTGTACCTGAAGATCCTCTTGAATGGGTTTCAGCAAACTGTTTACATACAGAAGACAAGAATTCATTGACTTGTCGGAGAGACAAAGAATTGTGGAGAGTCTCCAGAGGATAAATAGTGGGGACCATAGAACACCCCTCAAAACCTGTCAAAATCAGAAAACACTAAAATATTAGTATAGTCCAACATAACATCTATACTGGTGAGATTCAACACATAATTAGACAGCCTTTGAATGTATACCAACAGAAAAAAAAATGCGTTTATAAAATAAAAAGAAGCCCGATTTTTTACTTTATAACCCTCATTAGAAAAAAAAAGTTGGAGTTGACTGGTTAATGCCTGCAGTACCTCCAATTTCAATTCTTTTTTATTATATCTTGAGAGTGTTCATTATTAAGGTATGCTATTGTGTTTAAAGTTCACCCGCCAGGGAACAAACATACCTTATTTAAACAAATATATTCTCAAAGAAAATATAAGGCATGTGTATTTAACCAAGAGTGCGGTATTGACTTGCATGCTAATAGAAATCCTCTTTGTCTTTTCCATACCAACTACTGGATCAGACACAAAAAGACACTATGTACTGGAAAATATTATTAAATCCCCTCACCTCATTGCGATTTGTATTACCTTAGCACTTTACAATATACAAGTTTAGCTTAACCATGACAAAGCCATGCACCATCACCCACATGACATTGACATATCCATGCCATTTCCATCACCAACCTAGACACTAGGAATAGAATGCTCATTGAACATCTACTGTAACACTGCTTACTAAAGATCCTTGTTAAGGCTGACATACAACTACCTCAAGCAAAACCATCCATTACAGACATTCCGTTATACTACAGAGAGAAATACAAATGGTCTGCTACCTTTGTTGCCCTGAAAGACACAGCACTCATTATTAAAGAAGCAGCTTACGTAAAGGCAGAAAATTGTACAGCAAAAAACAATTCAACTTTATTCAAATCTAAAACATCCACCAAGCCCACTCCCATAATGAGTTAAACATATATAGTAATTCTATATGTGCCTCCAAATTAATAATAAAATACCTGTGCTAATTTGTTTTTAGCAATAGCTATATCATATACGGGTAATTTTTCAAAGACACACCACACAGATTAACCTTCGCTGCTGTTAAGGAGATCTGGCTATCAATACTGCTGTACATGCACTCAACTCCACTGGAACCTCAGACCTTACCAGATCCTATTGTTACCTTATGAGTAAGCACAAAAAGTGTAAAATTGGTCAAGCTAGTTGTGTGATGCTAGCTGCATACCATGCTCTTTGTCTGAATAAAACACCCGCAGATATCACACGACACAACACATAACTAATCATGCTTATATGTACAGTATTTGACCATCCATGGGTGCTACATATTTTTTTTTAAAAGTGGGGATATGTAGGCTTCTATTGCAGACTTATTCGACAATGTGAGTTTTCTGGCTGCCCCACAGCCCTAAATTAATTGAATTACTGTCCTGGAACCACCAGGAACATCATGTTTTGCGACTTAATTCTGACTTTATTTAATTGTTTCAGGTAAGTAACAGGGAAATTAATGAATGTGGAAATAGCTGGATAATGGGCATTTTCTAAAATAAGACAGCAATGACAGCTACCCATGCTTCTTTCAGTACAGGTGTCCTAAGCTTCCTCTAGTGAATTCTCTATAGAGATATATAGGCCCAGGTTTACTCAATGACAATTATGGATATGGGTGGAGGATACCATCTATGATGGGCTTCCATCCAGCAGGAAGGGCCAAGTGGGTGATCAAGTCCTGCTCCTTTCAAAATAGGAAAGCTAAGGACAGAACAAATCACACAAAACAAAAAGATATACTGTATTCTTTATGCACTTATTGGCTGTACTTATCCTTCACAAACATTACCACACCCAAAGCTTGTGTATGTAAGGTTTTTAAATTACATAGCAAAATTTTTTTAAAAGTAACACCATTTTGTTTGCATTGTACCTACGGAAGACTAGCTGGGCCATACAAATATCAAGCCAGTACAGTGCAGCTTTCTTTATGTGGAATGCAACTATTTATATACACATGTCCTGCTTTTAGAAATTACGTAAATAAAGGGCTAAATAAACAAATAAAGGAAGCAAAACACTATACCCAAACCTATAGAGTTTACAAGTTCTCCCCTGTGCTTCCATGGGTTTCTCCTAAAGACAGGCTGATGGTTCAATTGGTTCCTGCCTAATTGGCTCTAGTTTGTGTGTATATGAGACTGGGACCTTAGCTTGTAAGCTTCTTAAGGGCAGAGTTTGGTCTGAATGAATGGTATTTAAAGTGAAGCATATAATGATGACATTATTTAAGTAAATAAACTGCTTTTAGCAGTGCATATAGCTTCTAAGCTTTTAACCTAATCAGATTTTAAAAAATCTGTATGTTTATATTATTTTTAAATATTTACATGAAGGAAATTACAACTGATAACAGATCTTAGGACATACTATGCATTAGTAAAGTTCTATAGCAACCAATCAGAATGAATCTACTGATAATCCAGTATAATAATTACATAACACTAAATGAAAATGTGATGGCATGGATTGCTGTACTTCTCTTTATACTGTCTGGCAACTCTTTTGGTTTATATACTGTACATTTAATTATATTTCAATGACAGACTACTGATATACTGTAGTCTATAGTCTGTCACTAGCACTAGCAAGTACAATTCTATTTGAACACATGAGAACAAAAAAAGTTTATGAAAAATGAATGGAATCTCTATTGGATAAGTTATGAAAGCCAGATGAAATAATTCATTAGAATCCAACATGTGGATTGTGGAATGGACGCAAGAAAGACCTTTTTCAGATTTTCTATTCCCAAAAATGTCTCATTTGTAGCACATATTTTTGGCAGTTGATTTAGGAGTAAAATTGCATTTAAGTAAGCTACTTTTTACATCGTAATATACAAAATGACAATTTGTGGTAACAAGAACCCCAAATGTTTGCTGTGTTCAAATGGCTATAGTCTACCTATTATGGTGGAAAGAGAGATGTTCACTAGAAGAACCTGCAAATGTGCTAACCTGGCAAATTTACTAGAAAAACATAGCGTAGTATAGATTTGTAGCTAAAACATCAACATGACTAACATTTAAACGTGAAAATACCCGCAAACATTTGATGATCACTGCCTTTTGATGGGCTCAGGTGACATGCTGGCAGGGAATGATAATTTAATATGCATCTTTAAGTGAAAAAGCAGCTTTTTGGGTTTTTGAATAGAGCAGGGAAGGGTTAGAACACTGTAAAGCTTATATTGCTGTATGTACCCTTGTTGGGGTGATTTTTCTAACTTCTTGTATGGGTGACCTGACAATGAGAGAAATCTCCTAAAATACAGCAATAGAAACATGACAAAGGATAAAAAAATATGCCAATTACTCTAACTCATGGGTGGACATATTAATATGGAATTCAGGAATCAGTCTGTCCAATCCAGGAGCCAGCTCCATTGACAAAAACTAGAGGAAGCCTCAAAGGTTAGGCGCCAGCTGTAATGTTTAAGGAGCACTGGCGACCTAGCTCCTGGGATTAGCAGCTCTGCCCCAACTACTTCAAAAGAGGCATAACATATACATATGCCACTATCTTAAGTAAATCTTAATAAAAAAATTGGGTTAATTCAACCTCAGAAGAACATCACATGACATATTACATGGTGTCATTATTTTACAAACATACAGTAAAGCCAAAATGTAGAAGCCATGTGTGAAAAACTAAGTACACCCTTACTGCTTACATAGGAATTAAGAGGCTAAGTAGCAGCCAGGTGCTGCAATTCAAATGCCTTTGATTAATTGATCATCAGCAAGTGTGGCCACCTCTATAAAGCTGGCCATACACCTTACAATTATCTGCAGATTTTCTGTGGTCAGATGGAAAAGGTGCAACAGATTCCTCCATCTACACTTAACTGTGTGGATGGAGTCATCTCCACCTGGGCCAATCTGTTGCACTTTTTCCATCTGACCACAGAAAATCTGCAGATAATTGTAAGGTGTATGGGCACCTTAAAAGCCTAAGTTTTAGCAGTTTGCTGGTCTGAAGCATTCAGGTGTGTGTTAACACAATGCCAAGGAGGCAAGACATCAGCAATGATCTTAGAGAAGCAATTGTTGCTGCCCATCAATCTGGGAAGGGTTATAAGGCCATTTCCAAACAATTTAACGTCCATCATTCTACAGTGAGGAAGATTATTCACAAGTGGAAAACATTCCATTCCAATCTTCCCAGTAATGGGTCTAAGCAAATTCACCCAAATATTAGACCCTGCAATGCTCAGAGAAATTGCAAAAAACCCAAGACTCTACTGGCCTCAGGTAGCATGTTAAATGTTAAAGGCCATGACAGTATAATTAGAAAAAGACTAAACAAGTATAGTTTGTTTGGAAGGGTTGCCAGGAGAAAGCCTTTGCAAACCTAAACCATGCTGCCATGTTATTTTAGAAAGAAAAATTGCATCTGAACAAACTACAAGACTTCCGGAAGAATGCTCTTTGAACATACGGACCAAAGTCATACCAACTGTCAAGCATAATGGTGGAGGGGTGATGATTTAGGCTTGTTTTGCAGCCACAGGACGTGAACATCTTGCAGTCAATGAGTTGACCATCAACTCATCTGTATACCATATATCCTCTGTATTCTAGAATCATCTGTTCTAGGCCATCTGTACAACAGCTAAAGCTTGGCCGAAATGGCGTCATGCCACATGACAATGATCCCAAGCACACCAGCAAATCTACAACAGAATGGCTGAAAAAGAAAAGAATCAAGGTGTTGCAATGGCCAATTCAAAGTCCAGACCTCAACTGAATTGAAATGCTTTGGCTGGGCCTTACAAGAACTGTGCATAAACAAATGCCCACAAACCTCAATGAACTGAAGCAATGTTGTAAAGAAGAGTGAGCCGAAATTCCTCCACAATGATATCAGTAAGAGACTGATGAAGCCATACAGAAAATGATTACTTCAAGTTATTGCTGCTAAAGTTGGTTTTACAAGCTACTGAATCATAAGGTGTACTTCGTTTTTTTTACACATGGCTTCTCTATTTTGCCTTTATGTTGGTAAAATAAA